CCCCCCCCCCCCGCGTTCCTTGCCCTGCCTGCCTTGGGCAGGGCAGAGGGAGAAGGGACTTCTGCAGCTCCCACCAACCCCCCTTCCCTTGCTCACTTAGGGGATGATGACATCACTGAGTGGGCCCTGCTGTGTTCTAGGGAAAGCTGACTGCCAGGGAGCGGATCCACCTCCTGCTGGACCCTGGCAGCTTTGTGGAGACGGACATGTTTGTGGAACACAGATGTGCAGATTTTGGAATGGATGCTGAAAAGAATAAGGTACCTGTTCCCGTGGACGTGCTGCCCCGCTGCGGCGCTGCCGGCCGCCTGCCTGGGGAATGGGTCTGTAGTCCTCGGGAGAAGGAACCACTGGGGATTGCGTGGTCTTCCTTCCCCTCGCCTTCCATCCTCCTCCTCCTCCAGCCTCCGGAGTGCTGGTACTCCAGGTGTGTGCCACCATGCCCTGATGCCATGCTTCTTGGTGGTTGTTTTTGTTTGTATGTCTTTTGGCAGTACTGGGGTTTTCAACTCAGGACTCTCTGCTTTCCAGGCAGGCACTCTACCACTTGAGCCAGACTCCCTAGTTATTTTTCAAATAGGCTGTCAAGTTTATGCACATGTCTGGCCTTGACTTTTTTTTTTTTTAGTCAGTTGTGGGGCTTGAACTCTGGGCCTGGGCGCTGTCCCTCAGCTCTTCAGCTCAAGGCAAGCCCTGTACCACTTGAGACACAGCGCCACTTTCAGATTAGGTTTTTCTGAGTATGTGGTGCTGAGGAATCGAACCCAGGGCCTCATGCATGTGAGGCAAGCGCTCTACCACTGAGCCACCTTCCCAGCCCTGGCCTTGACTTCTTTCCTATCCGCACATTTCCCTGTAACTATAGTGACAGTTGTATGCCACCGTGCGCTCCTTTTTACTGTTGGAGATGAAAGTCTCCCAAACTGCCCAGCCGACCTCATTCTTAACCTCGCAAGAAACAAGGATTGCAGCATGAGTCACCATGCCTGGTTTTGAGCTTCTCCTTCTTTTTCTTTTTACTTTATTATGTCTAAATAGTTGTACAATGTAGTTTCAAGTCAGTTTGTGAGTACAGTGTGTCTTGATCAGTATCACCCCTTTCATTATTCTTCCTTCATGTCTTTTTTTTGTGCAGTCCTGGCCTTGAACTCAGGGCCTGGGTGCTATTCCTGATTATTTTTTTGCTCAAGGCTAGGTACTACTTTACCACCTGAGCCACAGCTCTACTTCTGGCTTTTTGGTGGTTCATTGGAGATAAGAGTCTCCTGGACTTTCCTGTTCCAACTGGTTTTGAAACTGGATCCTTAGATCTCAGCCTCCTGAGTAGCGAGGATGACAGGCATGAGCCACTGGTGCCCGGCTCCTTTCGTGTCTCTTTATATGTCCACTAGCTATGAGCAGATAGCATTTGTGGCCCTCAGGGAGTCTTGTAGTTTTTGTTTTGCCTTTTTTCCTTCCCATTGCTCTGAATCAAACCCTATGCCTAATGCCTGCCCTACCAGTACTTTATCACTGAGCCACACCCTCAGCCCAATTACTGCACTTTTGGAAGGAAGATGTCCCCTCCTTTTGCTGGAGTGAGAATCAGTGCTAGCTACCACACAGCTACAGAACAAGGGGTGAAATTTCTTTTCATCCTTATGCAAATGAAGGAATTAGTTGTGTGTTTGTATGTGGCTTTTGTGAAGGCATAGTGGACAGATTCATTCCGAGTATTTGGCCTGGCACTGGTGGCTCACACGTGTAAACCTAGCTACTCAGGAGGCTGAGATCTGGGGATTGTGGTTCAAAGCCAGCCCAGGCAAGTTCATGAAACTTTTTTTTTTCCCCAGTTGTAGGGCTTGAACTCAGGGCTGGGGTGAAAGAGGAGCCCCCACATCCATTCCAGGGGACCACGCAGAGGCAGGCAGGCAGACACAGGAGAAAGATTATTAGAAGGTCTGCTAAGAAGCCATAGTTCCCCCAAGAGGGAGCACATGGCCTGGGTCCCCATCCAGGTAGCAGGAGGGTCTGGGGATGGGAAGTGAGGCAGGTGGGAGTTCAGCTGGGTCTGGGCGGAGGGAGGGAGGGGCCAGCGGTGTGGAGGGAACTCCGGGGATGGGCGGGGCCCAGGCGTGGGTGGAGCTGAGGACCCAAAGTGAGCATAATACAAGGTGCTGTCCATGAGCCTTGTTGTGTTCAAGGCTAACGCTCTACCACTTGAGCCACAGCGCCACCTCTGGTTTTGAGTGGTTCATTGGAGATAAGAGTCTCACTGGGACTTGTTTGCCTGGGCTGGCTTTGAACTGCCATCCTCAGATCTCAGCCTCCTGAGTAGCTAGGATGACAGGCGTGAGCCACGGGTGCCTGGCTTTTTTTTTTTTCCTTTGAACTCTTTATCTCTAATTAACTACCCAAAAACTGGAAGTGGCACTGTGGCTCAAAGTGCGTACAGTCCTAGCCTTGAGCACAAAAGCTCAGGGACAGCACCCAGGCCCTGAGTTCAAGCCCCACGACCCACCAGAAAACCAAAACCACAAAGGGTATTTGGAATGTCCAGCCTTTATTTCTCCATTCCTCTGTAGTTTCCTGGAGACAGTGTGGTGACCGGACGGGGCCGGATCAATGGAAGACTGGTTTATATCTTCAGTCAGGTATGTCATGGCTCTGCTCATCTGGGCTTTTCCTGGGAGGTGGAAAGAAGCAGGAGCAAGGGGCTGGGAAGGTGGCTCAGAGGTAGAGTGCTTGCCTAGCATGCGTGAAGCCCCAGGTTCGATTCCTCAGTACCACATACACAGAAAAATCTGGAAGTGGCGCTGTGGCTCAAGTGGTAGAGTGCTCGCCTTGATCTGAAGAGGTCAGGGACAGCGCCCAGGCCCAGAGTTTAAGCACCATGGCCGACAAAAAGAAGCAGGAGCAAGATACAGGGGAGTGCCATTTCAGGCATGGTTTGTGTCGCAGGAAGGATTTGCTGCGTGCCAAGGTGACAGAAAGCCAGCAGTGTGTGCACAGAGGATCAAACCACGTGCTTTCTCCCTACAAGGGAGAGTCCATCTGTTTTGGGGCGGGTCTCAGTGCTGGAGGCTGCCGGAAGGGGCCCCAGGAAAGCGAGAGTGAGATACCTTTGGCCATGGGCCTAGAAGACCCTCGCAATCCCGGGCAGCGAAGGTCCAAGACAGAGCAGCAAACGCAGCACGTGCGTGGAGGGAGCGGGCGCTAGTGGGCCTTCACTGCCCCTCCAGCGCCCCAACCTCTGTTACCTGGGAGCGTTGCCCGACCCCGAGAGGAAGAACTCAGGTCTCTGGCCAGTCCCACGGGGGACTCCAGCCGGCCTAACCCCAGGTCCTTAGAAGTGGAAAGGCGGAAGAAGAGGTCAGAGAATTTGGTGTGGGGAGGACTCCACCTGTGCTCCTCAACGTTTTTTTTTTTTTGTCAGTCCTGGGGCTCGAACTCTGGGCGCTGTCCTGAGCCTCTCTTGCTCAAGGCCAGCACTCTACCACTTGAGCCACAACGGCACTTCTGACTTTTTCTGTGTCTGTGGTACTGAGGATTTGAACCCAGGTCTTCATGCATGTGAGGTGAGCACTGTACCACTGAGCCACCTTCCCAGCCCTGGTCGCCGGTTTTAAAGGAGTGTGGGCTGGGAAGGAACGCAGTGCCCAGAGGTTAGGAAGGTGCAGCCCTGGAGCCAGCGCGCCTGTCAGTCTCGGCTCGAGCCGAGGAGGCCTGCGTGGACGCCAGCCCTCAGCACCGCGTGCTCTCGCTTGTCCTGAGCCCTGCATTTGCGCTGACGTGCTCTCGCAGGGTGAGATGCTAACACAGTATGTTGGATGGTGTTTTAGACTTCATGCCCCACCCCCACTCAATAGGTGGAAGTTATATAAATGTAGATAATAATTATTTTTTTCCTGTGTATGTGGTGCTGAGGAATCGAACCCAGGGTCTCAGGCATGCAAGGCAAGCGCTCTACCACTGAGCCACCTTCCCAGCCCCAATAATTATTTTTGCAACAGGATCTCACTAGGAACATGGTTCAAGCTGGCTTCCAATGTAGGTTTCTCTCTTTGAGCCACAGCACCATTTCTGGTTCTCTTGTGGCCATCGGAGCTAAGAATCTCACAGACTTTACTGCCCCTGCTGGCCTCGAACCGTGATCCTCAGCTCTCTGCCTCCTAAATGGCTAGGCTAATAGGCATGAGCCCCAGTGCCCGACTTGAGTTTAGTATTGGGATTACAGGTGTGTGTTGCTACACTGGACTTGGGCCAAAACTGATAGATGGATCCATTAAGAAAGAGGATAGAAAATATTTCAGAGTTTCAGTGTTTTCTGGAAATGTGTTTATGTTTTTTTTTTTGAGGGGGGAGGGAGGAGGTGTCAGTCATGGGGCTTGAACTCTGGGCTTGGGTGCTCTCCCTGAGCTCTTCAGCTCCATCCCAGTGCGATCCGACACTTTGTTTCCTCAGAGACAGAAAGACGATTGATAATGAGGATAAAGAGTCAAGACTGCCTCTTTTATTCTGGCCCATGAGCTGTCTTTCAGCAATACTTCACTCACTGTTCTGCAGAACTGTCTATAAATCAGACATTTCCCTAATTTTTTCAACTTTTTTTTGTTTGTTTGTTTTTTGGTCAGTCATGGGGCTTGAACTCTGGGCCTGGGCGCTGTCCCTCAGCTCTTCAGCTCCAGGCGAGCGCTCTGCCACTCGAGCCACAGCGCCACTTCGGTTTTCTGGTGGTTCGTTGGAGATAAGAGTCTCACAGGGACTTTCCTGCCTGGGCTGGCTTTGAACCTCGATCCTCAGTTCTCAGCCTCCTGAGTAGCTAGGATGACAGGCGTGAGCCACCAGCGCCCGGCTTTTTTCAGCCTTTGAAACGCCTTTGCAATGCTTGAGCTCTCCCGGTTGGGTCTTAGGCTAGTGGAGGCCATCCTTGCTGATGCCATTGTCTTCCTCCCAGGACTTTACAGTGTTTGGTGGCAGTCTGTCGGGAGCGCATGCGCAGAAGATCTGCAAAGTAAGTGTTCACGAAGCGTGAGCCGGTGCCGCGCTCACTGGCGCGGTGCGTGCTGAGCGCTGTGGGGTCACCCCGCGTGAGGCCTTGCTGAAGAGCAGCTCTGCACAGGATGCACCGGCTGAGCGGCTCTCGCTGGTTGCTTAGTTTTTCTTCAGAGTTTGGATGCTTGTTGGGCAGGTGCTCTTACTTCTGAGCCACCCCTCCAGGCCTGGGTTTTGCTGGCTATTTTCTAAATAGGGTCTCACTTCCTGGCATATGCCTGAGCAACACCCATCGATGTTAGGGTTCCCCCCCAGGTCTTTGTTGAGAAAGGGTTTTGTGAACTTCTCTGCCAAGGATGGCCTCTGACCATGATCCTCCAGTTTCAGCCTCCCGCATAGCTAGGATTACAGTTGTGAGCCAGTAGTGCCCAGCTGTAACTTTATTTCCCCCCCTCCTGGATTGAGGGACCTGAACTCAGGGCCTCCGGGTGGTCCCTGAGCTCTGTTGCTCAAGGCCAGCTTGGAGCCACAGCACCACTTCCAGCTTTTCTGTGTCTGTGGTGTGAGGCGAGTGCTCTACCGCTGAGCCACCTTCCCAGCCGTCTTGAATGGGCCCAGGAGTCCTAGGGACTGAGGCCGCGCCCCGCTCCTGTTTAGGGGAGCACATTGCCGGCACTTTGCACACCACGCTGCCTGTCGGAGTCTGACCAGCACTTTCTCTGCTACCTCAGATCATGGACCAGGCGATGATCGTGGGGGCCCCTGTGATCGGGCTGAACGACTCGGGGGGCGCTCGGATCCAAGAGGGCGTGATGTCCCTGGCTGGCTACGCAGACATCTTCCTGGTGAGAAACCTAGCCACAGACTCTGCAGAGGTGCTGTGCTCAGTCCTCCAAGCACCGCAGGCAGGGCCCCGCTGGTCCCAGCCCTCCGGCCTCCTGCGGCTCCCTGTGTCTGGGAAGGGGGGTGGGCGGGAAGACAGCCTGGACCACTGTGGGTTTTTCTCTCCTCTGATAGGGGAGGCCAGTCAAGGGGGGACAGTGCAGTTAGCTCAAGGTCGTGCCTAAGGGAAAGCTCTGGAAAATGTTGGCTCTTCAAAAGCAGGAGAAAACGAAAATGTTGGCTCTTCAAAAGCAGGAGAATCAAGCTTCAAACTAAGTGGTGTATTTGAACTACTATTTTATTTTTTTGGTCGGTCCTGGGGCTTGAACTCTAGGCCTGGGCGCTGTCCCTCAGCTGCTTTTGCTCAAGGCTAGCGCTCTACCACTGGAGCCACAGCACCACTTCTGGCTTTTTTCTTTTTGTTTATGTGGTGCTGAGGAATCGAACCCTGGTCCTCATGCATGCTAGGCAAGCACTCTACCACTGAGCCACTTCCCAGCCCTGTGTGCGGGCAGGGTTTTTCGCACCATGCGGCCGGGAGCCATGCTCTATGGACTGGGCTCCGCGCAGCCGTCTGTGTTGGGGCTCAGAAGAACGGGGTGAGGCTGGCCACCAGGCCTTGGGCCGGCAGCCCAAGCATCCTCGAGTCTGGGCTGCTCTTTCCCAGGGAGTACGTTACGACATCACGGCTGTGCTCTGGCAGCCAGCTTGGCCTTGTGGAATCTGGGCCTCCCTCCTTCCTCCCCTCCCTTCGTCCCTCCTTATCTCCCTTTGTCCCCCCTCCCTCCCAGGGATGGGCAGAGGTGAAGGGGTGTAGCTGATGGCCTCTGGAGGGGCGGATGGAGAGTGGTTTGTGTGCCCTGGGGTGGGAGGGGGGGGTCCCCCCTTGCCTTGCTCGCCCCTCGCTGACCCATGCCGCTGCCTTGGCTGACAGAGGAACGTCACGGCGTCGGGAGTCATCCCGCAGATCTCTCTGATCATGGGCCCCTGCGCAGGCGGCGCCGTCTACTCCCCAGCCCTCACGGACTTCACGTTCATGGTGAAGGTAAGAAAGCAGAGCCCGCGCCTCCCGACCCGGGCCCAGCCTGGCCTGAGAAGGCGTGTGCACGACGCCCTCGGTGCGGGGCTGCTGGCTGCGGTGCGTGAGCCGTGCTAGGCGATGCCCGGGGCAGGTGCTTTGCATGTGATCGGCCACGGAGGATGGCTGTGCTCTGCCTGGGGAGGCCCTGCGGCCCCGCCGCTGCTGTGTGCGGGTCTCCTGGACTGTCGGCCGGTTCATCTGTGTTTTGTCATGGCAATGGTGGATCTGATCTAAAAGCCCATTTTGTCTTTTTTTTTTTTCTGTCGGTCCGGTCATGGGGCCTGAACTCTGGGCCTGGGCACTGTCCCTCAGCTCTTCAGCCCAAGGCGAGCGCTCTACCACTTGAGCCACAGCACCACTTCTGGTTTTCTGGTGGTTTATTGGAGAAACGAGTTTCACAGCTTTTCCTGCCTGGGCTGGCTTTGAACCGTGATCCTCAGATCTCAGCCTCCTGAGTAGGATGACAGGCGTGAGCCACCGACACCCAGCTGGCTGCTCTTTCTTAACCACAGTAAACCAACCACTGACTCTCCCCCCCCCCAAAGTACTAGTTACTGAGCCCAGGGGCTCCTGTGTGCTTGACAAGCTCTGAGCCATGCCCCAGCCCTTTGTACCGTAGCTGGGATTACAGGTACACACTACCATGCTGGACCACAACCACTGTTCTTTTTATTGCATCTATTTTTCCTTTTCCACAATATTTGGAACTTTCCATTATGTAGTCTCTTCAGACTCACTTTTTTCTCTCTCTCATTTTTTTTTTGTTTTTTTGGTACATTTAGGTTCCTTTCATGGCTTAGTTTTTGTGGTGGTACTGGGGTTTGAACTTGGGGCTCACGATAGCTTGGCAGGCCTACCTCTAGTCAGTCCGCGTTCATGTATTTTTAGCACCGGCTAATACTGCATTGTGTGGCTGGGTCAGAGGCTGCCCATCTGTTCATCCACCAGAGGATTTCTTGGTTCCTTCCAGGCTTTTGGCATTGTCAGTAAAGCTGCAGTCCATGTCCAAGGGTACATTTTGGTTTGGACCTAAGTGGGTACATATCACAGAACCGGGCTTGAAGAACCCCATCTTAAAAATGCGCTTAGTTTTGTTGGGAGCTGCCAGGCCGTCTGCATTTCCACCGGCAGTGGCTGCCGCTCCCCTCCAGCCACGCTCCTGCCAGTCTGGTCCTGTCGCTAGACTTCGGCGTTGTCTCGGGTGCAGTAGCCTCTCATTGCGGTTCACCATCCCAGTGACGCAGGCGTAGCGGATTCTCATACGCGGTTTGCCAGCTGTACGTTTTCTTTGGTAAGCCATCCAGTGAAGGCCCTTGGCTTTTTTTTTTATTTTTATTTTTGCTGGTCCTGGGGCTTGAACTCACAGCCTGGGCACTGTCCCTGAACCCCTCTGTGCTCAATGCGAGTGCTCTGCCACTGGAGCCACGGCGCCACTTCCTACTTTGTCTGTGTCTGTGGTGCTGAGGAATGGAACCCAGGGTTTCATGCATGCTAGGTGAGCGCTCTACCACTGAGCCACCTTCCCAGCCCCCAGTCCCCCCCCTTTTTTTTTCTGGTAAGTGGATTGTGCTCTTCTTGTTGCATTTTAAGAGTTGCTTGTGTGGTGTGGATAATAGTCCTTTGTGCAGTGTAAATAGTTTCACCTGATCTGTGGCTTATCTTTTCATTCTCTCCAGTGTTTTTCTTTCTTTTTGTTGGTCATAGAGCTTGAACTTGGGCCTGGGCGCTGTCTCTCAGCTCTTCAGCTCAAGGCGAGTGCTCTACCACTTGAGCCACAGTGCCACTTCTGGTTTTCTGGTAGTTAATTGGAGATCAGAGTTTCATGGCCTTTACTGCCTGGGCTGGCTTTGAACTTTGATCCTCAGATCTGAATCTCCTGAGTAGTAGCATTACAAGCGTGAGCCACTGTCGCCTGGCTTGAACTCAGGTTTTTTTTTTTCTGTTATTGTTGTTTTGTTTTTAATATTCATTAAATAATTTGTGGGATTTCAGTATTTCAGTAGCGACCGTGTCAAGTCTGTAGATGGTTTGAAGAGAAGTCTTCATATCATGTTTCTGTCTGTGAACATAAAACGTCTTCTAATGCTTAGTCTTCTAATTCTCAAGAGACTTTTTAACTTTTTATATACTTGTTACATATATTACTTAAATAAGACTGTGGTTTGTATTTAACTTACTTCAACTAATAGGAAAGGAGTAGAATTTTGTGTGTTAGAGTTGTACTGTGCTAGCCTGCCATAATGAATTACTAGTTCCAGCAATATTTTTGTCAGTTCTTCCAGATTTTCTACATAGGTGATTATGTCATCTGAGAATAAGGACAATTTGATTCGCAGTCTTTCTACACCTTTTATTTCCTTGTCGAATTACACAAGCAATGACTTTCATATTTTGTACCAAAATGCTGGAGTTTGCTCACTCAGCTTTTTATACTCATGGCTGGAACTGTGCCATTTGAGCCATGTCTTCCGTCCAGCCCTTCACTGATTAATTGGAGTTTTCTTCCCAGGCTGGCTTTGAACCTTGATTCCCCATGGGATACTATAGATTAGAGGCCAGGGGCAGAATGTCCTCGCATCTCAGTGTCCAAGGTTGTCGCTGACAGGTGTCAGCTGTGAGCTTTCTGAAGATGTTCTTTTTCAAGTTGAAAGAGTTGCCCTTGCCAGTTTGCAGACAGTTTTTGTTTTGTTTTTATCATGAATGAATGTTGGAATTTGTTTGGTGCTTTTTAACAGTTGACTTCGCCTTGCAAATCAATAACTCTTACTTGATTTTGGTGTGTAACTTTAATCTTTCGGGATCAGCTTGCTAAGGTTTTGTTGGTGATTTCTGCATCTATGCTCATGAAATTGGTCTGTCTTCCATTTGCAATGTCTTTAGTTAGGGTCCTGTCTTTAGTTACGAAAATGCTATCCTCTGCTTCCATTTTTTGAAAGAGGTTATAGAGAATTATTATAATTTCCCCCTTGAATTTTTGTAAGATTAACCAAAAAATTCATTTGGATATCGTGCTTTCTATATGGAAAGGTTATTAATTATTCAATTTCTTTTATATAGGCCTATTCAGATTATAGCTATATAAAACTAGATTTCTGTTTATATATACATACATATATTAATAATTATATATATTTGATTTTTTTTTGCCAGTCCTGAAGCTTGAACTCAGGGCCTAGGAACTGTCTCTGAGCTCTTTTGCTCAAGGCTAGCACTCTGCCAACTTGAGCCACAGCGCCACTTGCGTTTTCTGTGTATGTGGTACTGAGGAATTGAACCTAGGGCTTCATGCATGCTAGGCAAACACTCTACCACTGAGCCACCTTCCCAGCTCTCCTTGAACTTTTTTGCTCAAGGCTAGAATTCTACCATTTGAGCCACAGCTCCACTTCTGGCTTTTTGGTGGATCATTGGAGGTAAGAGTCTTAAGGGCTCTCCTGTCTGGGCTGGCTTTGAAATGTGATCCTCAGATCTCAGCCTCCTGAGTAGCTAGGATGACAGGTGTAAACTAGTGGACTTCTACCTTAGACTGTGTGTGTGTGTGTGTGAATCCATTCCAAATATATATATATATATATATATATATATATATACACACACACACACACACATATATATATATATATATATTTGGAATGGATTTGGCACATTGTCTTTCGGGAATCGGATTACTGCATTTATGTTATCAAATCTGTGACTATAGAGTTATTCTTGGCAGCTTTGTTGGTTTTTTTTACTCTCTTCCATTGGTTCTGTAGTGTAGTGATTTTTTTTCTCCCGCTATTGGTAATTTGTATCCTCTTCTGTTATTCTAGCTGGAGGC